AGGCCCCTTGTTGCCCGTCACACAGGAAAGCGACCCAGCCAGGCTGTGGGTGGCTGCCCTGCCCACTCCTGTAGCCATAGCCACGTGAGGCTATTTACACTCAAACCAGGTACAATGAAGTGAAAATAAAAACTCATTCTCCAGTTGCACGAGCCACATCTGAAGTGCCAGCAGTCCCATGCGCTGTCGGTACTGCATCAGCATAAAATCACGACTCCATCACCTCAGCAGGTTGTGTTGGGCAAGAGGCTAGTCCATGGACTCAAAGCCTAGAAGGTCCTCGACCTCCACGACCTGAAGGGGCAAGTCAATGTGGCATGCACAGATGCCTAGCCTCTCTGGCATTTGAGAGCAGGAAGAAAGAACCAGAGGGGATGGCCCTGCCCGCAAAGCAGCCATGAGCAGTAGCCGTGGGGACCTGGGCACCAGGCACAGTGCAGGCAGCTCCATGGGGAGGGGCGGGAAGTGATGGTGGGGGGCCCACTGGAGTGGCGGCCGTTCCTCTTGGCAAGCACTTTTCAAGCCCCCAGCATCTGGATGTGTGCGGTGCAGTCCCCGTACCAGAGGCGAGGAGGCAGGTGCACACAGGAGCCAGCAAGAGATCCACGCAGTGGGAACAAATTGGGCCGGGCAGAGCAGTGGGACAGTGCGGGGAGCAGGGGCAGGCGGGCCTAGGGCCTCCTCAGAGCAGAGCCAGGCCTGGGATGGTTGACGCATTCGTGTCCAGGCAGGGGGCCCCCTCCATGAGGAGTCTCTTTTGCTGCCTGTCCAAAGTGGTCCTCGTCCCTCTTACTCCACCCTGTGCTCCATTTCTGTTAATGAGCAAGGGGCGGAGCAGGTGGGAGCAGGGAGCTGCCTGGGGTATTCACTCTGGCTGGGGAAGGGCTGGGAGGGTGCAGCTGAAGCCAGCAGGGCAGCAAAGGAGATGAAAAAAAGGCCCATTAAATCAAATATCGGGCCAGGAAAATGGCTGGACTCGGTGAGCGACTGGACACGGGAGGTGATGAGAAGGACTTTGCATGGAGCACGGAAAACAAATGCTGGGAAAACCAGAGCTTCTCAGCTGCTGCTGCCTCCCGGCCTGTTCACACCTTAACAGGGCACCCTCCTAACAAAGGGGAGCTTGAGAAAGGGACCCTCTCACACTTGTGTGCCCTCCCAGCACTCATGGCACAGAGTAAGGGTTTAGGGGCATCTAGAAGCGCTCAGGCTCTCCAATGGAGGCTTCCTGCCCAGCCTGCAGGCCCTGCACCTGGTCACACGGTCATGGGAGAGCCGAAGTGAGGGACGTCCTGCAGGATGACTGCTGGAGCCACAGACAGGCGCTGGTCTGAGGGGGCGGAGGAGGCCACACGGACACCCAGGGCCCCTGAGGGCTCAGCAGGGCGCCAGGGAGGCAGGGAGAGAGGGAGTGGGGTGGGAAAGCGTCCCCCTTTGGGAATCTGGATACAGAGTACTGCTTTGCAGCTTGTCTATGAATTATTCCAAAATGGAAAGTTTTAAACCTTAAAAATAAAAAACCAGATATTAAACTTCACATAGAAATCCAGTTTTGGAAGAATTAATGTGTTCCAGTTTTCAGCCCTGCTGTCTAACTGCCACCCCAGGGCTCAGAGAGCTGCAGGAAGAGCGGGTGCCTCCCATGTGCCCACTCAGGCCCGGAGACGCCTTTCTTTGCTGTCCTGCGCCTACTTGCTTTCATCTTTCAGGGGTGTTCCGAGGTACTCTGGTACATGTACGAGGGCCGCCATTCAGAGCGAACCAAGGGAGGCAGCTCTGGCCGCCGAATCGCAATGGCAATGGCTTCATTTACAGAAACAAACAATTTTTTGAAAAACTGCTCTTAATATCACAACACAGCGAAAGAAGAAGTTGCATATCCTGTCCAAGCAGTGATGAATTTACTATTCATAATGGGAAACACAAAGACAGATTTGTGGCTCCATGTGTTAATTCGCTTACTTAAACAAAGGCAAAATGATGACCTCTATAGAGAACGGCGGCTTCCCCCACCCGACTTAACCCTGTGGAGAACCACGGGGATCACCCCCACCCGCACAGCTTAGCCCTGTGAGAGAACAAGGGCTTCCCCCACCCAGCTCAATTCTACCCAAATGTTCATCAGTAAGTGGCTTACTTACATATGACTAGGAAATGACAGTTTGGGGTGACTCTCCCCCAGCTGAAAGCTTTCCTCACACAGCACCAAGTGGTGATGTGCCTCTGTGGATGTGTAGCACCCACGGATGTGTCTCTTCAGCAGAACACCCAGCTGCTTGTGAAAGTCGGGGGTCTTTCCTCTGGTGAGCCGGGCATGCGGTCTCCCCAAGGAGGAGGCTCCTTGCTGTCTGCGGCAATGGGGCAAAAACAGCCCTCTCGTGAGGATCTGTTTGCTCTCCAGCCGGACGAGTCAGCTGCCCAGTTCCAACCGTCTTTTGTATAGGGAAGGAACGTGGGGCATTTTAAAGGCAACGTTTACTGGATAAAGCTCCAGCATTTTTATAGTCTAGAAATTTAAGGAGTCAGCAGTGGGTCCATTTAGCTCTGCACGTTTGAGCAGGACTCACTGGCCCTGATTACAGGGACAAAACCACACACCATCAGACTGAGGTGCCCTTCTTGGTATCCCAGGCTGCCCTGCAAATCCATCAGCGGGCCCTTCCCTGACTCGGCCCCAGCGCCAGGCCGCAATTCTCCGGGCACATGACTTGCCACTTCTGGCAACTCACTTGCTTTACACAGGCTACACCGTGGCCTGAGGTGAAGCGTGAGCACCAAGCGTGCAGCTCCCAAGGGCAGGGCTGGTGCTTGAGCCTGCATATGTGGACTGGGCCAGACCCCTCTCCCAGACTGCACTCTCTCTAGCTACTGTCGCCCTATGGAATCAGCCATCCTGGGACCAGAGCGAACTCGCGCCCTCTCGCTGTGGTTATTATGGGCAGGCAGGGGACATGTGTTTACTCTGCACCCCACAGATTCCGGGGGCTGGAAGGCTGCAGGCAGCTCAGGTTACCCGGCTCTGACTAAGGCTTCCCGAGTGGAGTGGCGGGGCACTCAGGCGCCACTGCGTAACACAAATGTGCCAGTAGCCCGTGCCCTTCCCGCTCTGATGCTGTCAGACCCACATCTGTGGTCCCAATCCCTGCCTGGCCCACAGGGGCACAGTGGTCCTTTCCACAAAACCAAAATGAAGACCTGCTGGATTGAACAACTAAGCTACAGTGCCAAAACGGCTACAGTGTCTGGCCCTTGCCTTTGGCTGTAACATCACCTGAGGTCTTTCCAAGGGCGTGCTATCAGCTTCTGACCACAGCCCCCATGCTGGCCAGCCAAGCGTTGGCTGGCTTCACGGCTCTCTGCTCAGTAAGCTCTGTGGGGCACCTCTCAGCTGGGGCACTGGTGGGTCTCAGCCTCGAAGGGCTCTCCTCCCGACCACATACAGCCACCCACCAAGCTTAGCCCAGCAGAGTGTTAGTGGGAGGAGGCCAGAGGCACACGGGAAAGGCACAGAGAGCAGAGCAGAGGCCTGCCTGGGCAGAACTGGTCTTAAGCCAGAAGGCTGACCCCTCGCCTTATGGTTGCCCATCCCGATTTTCTCCTCTAGCTCCTTCTCTCGCCTATGTTGACCACACAGGAACAGCGTGAAAGGAAACCAAGCTACTCGAACCTCAGACATGAAATGGCCACTGAGACTCCTCACAGCAGTGGAGGGGGCGGGGGGAGCCCCAGCACTCCAGTCTTCCAGGACTGCAGCTCTGTGCTACCCCCCATGGCTGATGGGGAAGCCCAGGCCAGGGGTCAGGGTAGAATGGGTCCTGGCCTGGCCCCTCAGGGCGCATGACAGTGATGCAGCCCCCAGGCCCCTCCCCGACTCCTCAGGCAGCCCTGAACAACCCGATCCCATAAACTCTTCTGTCTCCTCAAACCTAGAGCTTTAAACCAGTTTCGGTGGAGCCTGGCACCGCGATCGACAGACAACTGACTCTTGACAGATGCACAAATCCCAGAAGCGAAATAAACCACGGTAAATAGAAATTACAAGGCACGGTTAATTTTTATAAATATCTTTAAAATAAACTAAGCCATAAACTGCCCTGGTTTGAGGAAAAGCCAAAATATTAAAACAGTCTTCTATTTCAATAGTACAGCCAAGAATGTATTAAGCTGAACTGAAAGGAATTCAGCTCATTTAATAAGAAACTTCCTATATGTAAAATCAAAGTACCACCCTCCGCCTAGAGTAACAGGAATGTGGCGGCTTAGAGAGCATCTTGGGCAACTGACTCATTTGACTTGTGGAAAATCAAAGCCCTGAGCAGGCAGGTGCCACGGCCAAGGTCACAGGCGGAGCAGGGACGGGGGCCCACGTCCCCGCGATGCTCCTGGGCTGGCACACAGTCGCTGCTGGACGTGTGGCGGTGAGTGGGTGCGGTGGCATCCCTACAATGCGCGGTTCTTCAACCGGTTCACGACATGATCTCCCGGCTATGGAAGATCCTAGAACATGATCAGATATTTCAAAATTCTACTTTTAACCCCTCAGAAGCTGGAGGGGAATTTCTCAGCCTTTTCCATATAAGCTAATCGTCTTCCCCACCGAGGGAATCCCAGGGCGAAGAAAAAAGCCTCTGGAAACCTGGCGGCTGTCGGCCGGCGCCAAAGGGGCGGCCTCACTGCAGCCTGAGCGATGCGCCCGGCCGGGCCCCGCAGCGGGGGCGACGCAGAGGCCCGCGGCCGCAACCCCTTTTCCGGGGGGGCTCGGAGCCGCAGCAGCCCAAGGCAGGGACCGGGCTCTGGGGACACTGGTTTGCGGAAAAACACCCGAAAGCGGAGAGACCCGGCACCCGGCGGGAGAGGCGGGTGCGGAGCGGGGGGCCCGGCCCAGGGCGGGCGCTGCCAGACCGCACGCTCGCCGGCGACTGGGGGCTCTGCCGGGGGCCGCGGCCCCCGGGCGGGCGCCGGGGCGGGTCCCCGGGCGCCCCGCGCGCCGGCCCACGCACCTCCTCGGCCTGCTTGCGCAGCGCCTTCTCCCGCTCGTACTGGGTGAGCAGCTGCTCGTTGTCCTCGCGCAGCAGCTCCAGCTCCACCTCGTGCTCCTGGTTCTCACTGAGCACCGAGTCCAGGTTCTCGAGCACGTTGACCACGAGCGGCATGAGCTCCTTGACCACCTCCTCGTCGTAGCAGTGGATGAGGCGCTCGAACTCGCGGTAGATGGAGCCGGCCAGGCCCGACACCCGCTCCGACATCACCGAGCCGGAGCAGTAGTCGTCCTGGTACACCACCACGCCGCCGCCCTCGTCCATCTGGATCTCCATCATCGTGGCCGCCAGCGCGGCCCGCCGTCCGCCGGCGCGCCCGCCCGCCCGCCCCTGGTCCGCAGGCCACGGCCTGTCGCCGCCGCCGCCGCCGCTGTCGTCGTCGCCTCAGGGATCAGCCGCCGCTGCTACTGCTGCTGCTGCTGCTGAGGCTGCGCCCGTCACTCAGCGCCCGGAAGTCTCGCCTCCCGGAAGTCCCGCCCGTCGAGCTGACGGGGCGTTGCCCGTCCTCCCCGGAGCCCCGCCGGCCGCGCCGCTAGGGGTAGTGACGTAAGAGGAAGTGGGTCCCCAGGCCGGAAGCTCGGTAGCGCCGGGCGGGGCCGCTTCCGGTTGGGCCGGGCTGTGGTCTCTTGTTTTCCGCGCGCCCCGCTGAGCCCCTCCGCCGGTTGAACCCCGGGGGTCGATCCCTGGCGCGCTCCCAGCCGGTCCTTCCAGCGGGCGCAGAAGGTCGTCCCGTCCACCTCCACGCCCTGCGGCTTGCGTGCCTTCGCTTCCCGGTTTTACTTCAGCCAATTAATCTGCCCCATCTAGTTTTTAATTTCAACGGTTACATTTTAAATTTCCGGTTGTCCTATTTGATTTTTTCATATTCTGTCGGTTTTGCTAGGCTCTTATTTCTTCCACTTTCCGCCGCTTGTCTTAACTCCCTCCGGTTACCTCCCGTCTGTGGCCCTCCCGGGTCTGGTTCCGCAGCCCGTTATGGTTGACGGCGGGGCCGCCTCTCCCTCTCTCCTGAACTAGTGTTCCCTGAATTTAGTACAAGGTCTGAATTTAAAACGAGTTGCTTTAGAGGATTTACCTTCTTTATTCTCTCAGCATCATCTGAGGACACCATGAACCCAAGATTTAATTCTGCGGGGCCACACAGGTAGTGTGAATTCCGATTAAACCCGAGGTGGCTTGATGCTGACGAATGCTCTGCCTCCTCCCCTTCACCTAGTGAGATGGTTCAGGGGCAGTTCATCCTTACAGTACATCCCCTCCTGACTAAATTTCACCACATTGATGCATTTCCATGCAGGTGATGCCGGAAATATGATTGCACGCATTTCCCCCTTGCAACCTGATTTGCTGTGTAAGGATGCTCATCCACCCAACTAAGACATAAACGGAGATTCAGGTCATTTTTTAAATTCATTTTATTATCATTAATCTACAATTACATGAAGAACATTATGGTTACTAGACTCCCCCCTTCACCAAGTCCCCCACAAAAACCCCATTACAGTCACTGTCCATCAGCGCAGTAAGATGCTGTAGACTCACTACTTGTCTTCTCTGTGTTGCACAGCCCTCCCCGTGCCCCCCATTATACATGCTGATCGTAAGGCCCCTTTTCTTTTTCCCTGCCCTTATCCCTCCCTTCCCACCCCTCCTGCCCAATCCTTTTCCCTTTTGTAACCATTAGTCCATTCTTGGGTTCTGTGATTCTGCTGCTGTTTTGTTCCTTCAGTTTTTGCTTTGTTCTTATACTCCACAGATGAGTGTAATCATTTGGTGCTTGTCTTTCTCCGCCTGGCTTATTTCACTGAGCATAATACCCTCTAGCTCCATCCATGTTGTTGCAAATGGTAGGGTTTGTTTTCTTCTTATGGCTGAATAATATTCCATTGTGTATATGCACCACATCTTCTTTATCCATTCATCTACTGATGGACACTTAGGTTGCTTCCATTTCTTGGCTATTGTAAATAGTGCTGCGATAAACATAGGGGTGCATCTGTCTTTTTCAAACTGGGCTGCTGCATTCTTAGGGTAAATTCCTAGGAGTGGAATTCCTGGGTCAAATGGTAGGTCTGTTTTGAGCATTTTGATGAACCTCCATACTGCTTTCCACAATGGTTGAACTAATTTACATTCCCACCAGCAGTGTAGGAGGGTTCCCCTTTCTCCACAGCCTCGCCAACATTTGTTGTTGTTTGTCTTTTGGATGGCAGCTATCCTTACTGGTGTGAGGTGATACCTCATTGTAGTTTTAATTTGCATTTCTCTGATAATTAGCGATGTGGAGCATCTTTTCATGTGTCTCTTGGCCATCTGTATTTCTTTTTTGGAGAACTGTCTGTTCAGTTCCTCTGCCCATTTTTTAATTGGGTTATTTGTTTTTTGTTTGTTGAGGCGTGTGAGCTCTTTATATATTCTGGACGTCAAGCCTTTATCGGATCTGTCATTTTCAAATATATTCTCCCATACTGTAGGGTTCCTTTTTGTTCTATTGATGGTGTCTTTCGCTGTACAGAAGCTTTTCAGCTTAATGTAGTCCCACTTGCTCATTTTTGCTGTTGTTTTCCTTGCCCGGGGAGATATGTTCAAGAAGAGATCACTCATGTTTATGTCTAAGAGGTTTTTGCCTATGTTTTTTTCCAAGAGTTTAATGGTTTCATGACTTACATTCAGGTCTTTGATCCATTTTGAGTTTACCTTTGTATATGGGGTTAGACAATGGTCCAGTTTCATTCTCCTACATGTAGCTGTCCAGTTTTGCCAGCACCATCTGTTGAAGAGACTGTCATTTTGCCATTGTATGTCCATGGCTCCTTTATCAAATATTAATTGACCATATATGTTTGGGTTAATTTCTGGGGTCTCTAATCTGTTCCACTGGTCTGTGGCTCTGTTCTTGTGCCAGTACCAAATTGTCTTGATTACTATGGCTTTGTAGTAGAGCTTGAAGTTGGGGAGTGAGATCCCCCCTACTTTATTCTTCTTTTTCAGGATTGCTTTGGCTATTCGGGGTCTTTGGTGTTTCCATATGAATTTTTGAATTATTTGTTCCAATTCATTGAAGAATGTTGCTGGTAATTTGAGAGGGATTGCATCAAATCTGTATATTGCTTTGGGCAGGATGGCCATTTTGACGATATTAATTCTTCCTAGCCAAGAGCATGGGATGAGTTTCCATTTGTTAGTGTCCTCTTTAATTTCTCTTAAGAGTGTCTTATAGATTCAGATCATTTTGATCCTGACGTAATTATCCTCAATTACCATTTCCAAACCTGTAGAACAGCCTAATATTATCAACCTATTAGCAATGTTATGAAGATTAAGCCAACCAAAATGAAAGGGGGTTTAATACCATCTCCAACAAAGTAGTAAGCATGCAGAAACTTAATGGAGAAATGTTAGTTTCATATTCCCAACCTGAGGGTCCAGGAGAAAGGTGAATTGTGTAGTTTTTCTGGTGAGCACATTACAGGGAATGCTTGTGAAGGGTAGTGTTTAAGATTTATGCTTTAGACCTCTTCCAGAAACATGACCACACTGAATTCCTATAGTAGCAAATATAGTAGGGCAGCCACTACCGAGTGAGAGGCCAATGACCTGGCAATCAACTCTGTTTTCATTACTAACACGATTTATTAGTGAATTTGTTGCCTGAAATTGGTCAAAACGAAGTTTTAACATGATGATATGCTGGGTAATTCTTAATGTTTACTGAAGAATGCCAAGTAGTACACTCTTGAGAGCGCTAACTGAATCAGAACTCACATTTTAGTAAACAGATTTGTAAAGGTAATTTGGGATACACCTTTTTCTTGTTCTCATTACAAGACCCTAAAAGGTAAGATGGGTCTGTAGGTTTCAAAGGTTTTACTTTATAAGTATCTGCCCCAATGGCTGCTCATCACCTAGGTCCCTCCTGTAAATGTCCCTCATTTCTTCTTAAGTTGAACTTTCTGTAGCACTTTGTAGTCACACATTAAACAGGAATATTGCAATTGTGATCTCCAACGGTGCTAAGGATTAAGACTGAGTTCAGATGACTGGGTAACACAGGAGGTATATACATCCTTGCAAGGTCTGACATGTATATTCCGTCAAGAGCCAGTGTATTTCTGGACAAGGCCCAGGTCTTGAAGTGACAACCTTTTGATGTCTGCCATCCACTCCCTCATCCCAGTGTAGATGGAGCTATCTCTTGTCGTTTCAGATTCCGTCACTGCTTGACCTCTGGAGACAAGCAGGCTGTGACACTCATGTCTTTGCTTGCCTGAGGACAAAGCAGGTGCTACACATAGGTAATGGGGCGTTGCCAGCGTGTCAGCCCAGTTCTCGGGACATGGTGTGCACTCCCAAACACAAAGACCATGTCAGGGAACCCACGCGGGGCTCTTGCTGAAGTGCTGTTCTGGCCACTGGCCACCATCCGGCAGGCAGAGAGGTGTGGGGCCTCTCCAGACCAGTGGTCTGAGGTTCATCACTTGTAACCCACATGTGATATAAGACAAGTCTGTTTGTAGGACATAGGAAACTACCTAATATATGAGACATTCAATCTGTTTTCTCTATAGGATGTAAGTCTATTGGCAAATCTGAATAGCCTAGCACCTCATCGACTTCACTACCAGGCTTGCCACTTGCAAGTTTCAGAGCCAGCTTCTGAACCTTGAGTTCCTTCCTCAACAAGAAAAAAGAATCATTATCATTGACCCACAAAAACTGAAAAGGACACTCATATTCCCTTATTCTACTCAAACCTAAGCCAATGGTTTTCAAGTGAAAAAACTTGTAATCCATACCCTTCTAGATTTAGGCATCCTCTAGCTAAATGAAAAAAAAAAAAAGGGCAACCCCTTCACCTGTGAAGAGATGGAGGGAAAGGGACAGGGCTCTGCCCTTAGAGAATGGATGGAAGTGTGCGCATGTGCACTCTCGTGTGCCCACACACACACACACACACACACGACAGGCAAAGACTCGAGCGCTGATCACTACGTTTAATTCAACTGTAATCCAACGCTGCCTCGTAAAAATGACACAATGTTCCTATCAGATCGCACTGTGATGTGAGTACGGGTTTGTTTTAGAGCTCTGGAAAAATGTTGGCACCAAATGCACATAAGTTTTAAAGCTTAATAAAGATACAGATGAGTAATTTCTCAATTCAGCGTAGAGGTTGAGAACATGGTGCTAAGAGTGAATGAATCTTCCAGACACAGGCACTCCCCAACACACGGCATTTTCAAAATCTGAACGGCCACCCCAACAGGCTCATCTCCCAGCGACCCGACTGCTCAGGTACTTGAAACTCACTCCCACAGCCACAGGAGGGGAAGGCACGGACAAGGTAAAGTGGGGCACGTGGCCCTGCTGCGGCTCTGGCCCCTGTGGGTGGTCTGTGAGGGCCGGCACAGCAATGCCAGGTTCTCGGCGATCTAACCTGGAATTCACACATCATCTTATACGTTAAAAAGCAAAACCAAAGCTAAATGACAGTAGTTCGCTCGCACCACTGGAACACTTTGTTAAGTTAAAGAAGGTCGTGTGTTCGGTTATGTGTGGGTGCATGGCTACCCACCATCTATGACATTTGAACTGGGAGAAAATGCACTGAATTCCAAATAAATTTACAAACGACCATTTGAACGTTTCTGAATGAGGATATAGTACTTGCTAGTCACACGGAGTTGTCTGTCCATGGTCAGCTGGGCCACTGAAGGGGAAAACCGTCTTTGGTTGACAGAGTGACGTGCAGATGCCCTCAGTGTGCTGGGCATGTGGAGCTTGGCAGGCAGCTCCTATAGGCACTATGGTGTCCAGGATGCTGTGAGTTTATTCTGCATTTTAATGCTGACATGTAGCACCTGGCATTAACTTTGTAGGCACTTCTGCTAACATTTGCCACCACCTAGACCCTCCCTCATGAACTGCTGTTTTTTTTAGCAGGAGTGAAGTATAGGAACTGAGACTGTAGCCCACAAGAGGCTGAGTGGCACAACCTGCTGCCTGACAGATGAAAGCACCACAACTCTTGCCAGCCTGTCATCTGTGCAGGCAGATATGGAATTGGCCAGTTGAGACTTGGCTGGCAAACTCCTTAACCTCCTGGGAACTGTGACTATGGCCCAGAGGTTCTGCAAAGCTTTATCATGCGTGGCCTAAGCAAATCTTCCTCTTTGGTGTAACTGAGCAACTGGCTTTTTTCTAGAAAGGTGTCAGAAACAGACCAAAGTCAACAGTCACTCACTTAAGCCTGGTATTCTAGAAGAGCAGACAGAAAGAGTTCAGACCAGGGAACCTAAGGTCCCAGGGCATCTCTTTCTCCCACTGCAGTGGGAACAGACAGACACAGAAAGGTTTACACAACCCCCTGCCTGCACATATCTGATGGGAGTTTTCAAGTCTTGCAGGAGTCAGTGGGCCTTGCAATAGGAAGAACTGTAGCTTGTGAAGGGAACTGCCCACATCATTGTTGAAAGCAGGGGCTGAGGCTTAAGGCTGAGAAACAAGGGGAACAATTCACAAGCAAACCCACCTGGGCAGAGACCAGCACCCCTGGGAATGGAAGGCAGTGACTATGGAAGATCTGGCCAAGGTTTGATGGCAGACATGGGGCACCTCAGAGATCAGAATACAAAAGCTGTATTATTGTAAAGCTTAAGACCTAGAACAACTTTCTGGTTTTTGTTGACCACTGCCAAGAAAAGCAATCTAGAGATTTCAAGAAAGGGGTGTGGGGCGATTCTCTGGGGTGGAGGTAAAAGAAGGTGGTGGGGTCAGCAGCCGAATCCTTAAGGCAGACACTGTACCCCCGAGGGGAACGGCTGGGGGACTGTCTGCAGACCCCCGGCAGTAGTGTTTCGGCTTAAAGCCCTGCTCCTCCGTCCCAGAGCCACGGACAGGTTGTTTTTGGTTTTAAGGCTTTAAACTCGGCAGTTAGTGAGTGTTAGATACCCGATCAGCTGGCAGCTCATGCACAGAAGGATGTGGAGGGCCCCGCCCCTCAGGAACCGCGCACGAGTGTACCAGGGGGCCGCGGTTCGTCCCACCAAGACCAGTCTCCCGGCAGCCTGGAAGGCAAGGTCCTCCTCAGCTCGCACGGTGCAAAGGAGCCTGAGCAGCGGCCTCAGACAAGCGACACCCCCCTCCCCACCCCCACTCCTTTGGGCTAAAAGAAACTACAATACGCGAAATCCTCTCTCCAGTTCCTTGTGTGGCTACAGGGGCAGCAGCAGCTTCTCTTAGTAGAAGGAGATGCTGGACTTGCCTCCGGGCGGGTTGAGGACTTTGTTGTGAGATCGGGGCCGCGGGCCCAAGCGGGGCTCGTGGCTGTCAGGCGCGGGCACGGGCTCCTGGGCGTGGTCGGCTCTCCTGGGGCTGCCTCTCTCACCTGGCTCTTCTCTGGGCGAGGTGCTCACGGCTGCGGGACAAAGCACGCCATTCCGTTAGAGGCCGCCCATCTCCTGAACAGGGAAGCCGTGCACAGGGGGAGCCTGCGGCACAGACCAGCTAGCAAGAAATGCACACAGCGAGAGGGAGAGAGGGTGCGCAGAGAGCCCCCCGTCTTGCACCAAGATGGCCCTGCTCTCGTACTGCAGCCAGAGGCTTTGGGTCCCTGCCCGTCACTACACACTAGTTCAGCTTCCAGAAGCGGACACTGTGGTCTGGGGCCCAGGCTGATTAGCACTGACAAGTGAAGAAAAGCCATGGTGGCCGGCTGCAAAACTTTCACCAGAAATAACAGCCATTTCCGCAGCCTTCTTCAGGTAGGAAACCCTCTCGGCGATAAGCAGGACCTTGCTTGCTTTCACCAGCTGGCTTAGAAGGGGCTTGTGAACATACCCCCGTGTCCTGGTGGGGAGGGGTGGGCGGGGGAGATACCTGCAGCTCTAGAGTGGAAGCACTTGAGGGGAGGGACAGGAAGCGGGCGCTTACCTTTGCGGCCTGACTTTGGGTCTCCTTCACACAAAAGCATGTGGTCCTGCAACAAGGCAAACCCAGGTCAGTGTGAGATTCAAAACCATCACCCTCTTTCAGTCAGGGCACAGATGACTGGGGTTTATTAACTTCTAAGGATGTTTTTTATGACTGGCAATTCAGCCATAAGCAAGGAGAACAGCCGCGGGGCCCCAGCCGGTCTGCTGTGCACAGGGAACAGCGCTGCTCACTGCCATCCCGCCAGCCACGCTGCTCTCCCACCCGCAGTCCCTCCTTCCCCGTGGGGTGACCCTTCACTTCTCTGTAAATATTTCAACATGTGACTCTTAAAAATGTCCTTGAAGAAACAAAAACAATCATAATTCTCACCTGCAAAAATCAGTTGTTTAAATGTCTAACAGCTAGCCAAATTTTAAAACAGCACGTTTCCAAGGTTCATCCATGGTGTAGCATGTATCAGAAGTTTTATTCGTGTTTCTCCCATTTTATGTGTATAGCACACTGTTTATCCATTCATCTGTTCAGGGACACTTGGATTATCTCTACCTTTTGGCTGTTATGAATCATGCTGCTATTAAAAGAGGTGTACAAGTAGCCTTTTGAGCTCCTGTTTTCCATTTTTTGGGTTATCCATGTAAGAGTGGGATTACTGGATCACATGGCAAAGACTACATTCAGCTTTTCAGAACCTGCAAAACTATCTTTCAGAGGGTGCACCATCATATATTCCTACCAGCCACATGAGGGGGTCCAGTTTCGCCCCATTCCCGCCAACACTGGTTCCCCTGCCTTTTAAGTAGCCATCCTAGTGGGTGTGAAGTGGCATCTCATGGTGATTTGGGGCAGCGTTTCCCATAATGACTAAGGAGGGCGTGCATCTGTTCACATGCTTATTGACCATCTGTCTTCCTTTGAGAGATGTCTGTTCAAGTCCACTGGCCATTTTTGATTCTGAGTTTTTGTTGTTGAGCTTTTAAGAGCTCTTCAAATAGTCTGGATTGTAAACTTCTACCAGATTATGTGATTAAAAAATAATTTCTCCCATGCTATGCACTGTCTTTTCATTCTTTACATAGTGTCTTTTTTGTTGTTGTTGTTTTTTGGGAGAGCAAGGTACAGGCTTTTATTTATAGACATAAAGTGAAAGGACAGAGCTCCCGGCTCGCGCCAGGAGGGACAAGAGAGTCCTACATAGTGTCTTTCGATGCACAAAATTTTTAATTTCATGAAGTTCAGTTTAATTGTTGTAAATTTTGTGTTTTTGCTGTCATATTTAAAAAAATCATTGCTAAATCTAAGATCATAAAGATCTGAAGAACTGTATAGTTTCAAGCCCTTAAATTTAGGTCTTTGATCCATTTTTAGTTAACTTCTGTTTATGGCGTGAGGTAATAAACTTTTCAATTTTCCCCGCACCATTTGCTGAAGAGATCGCTGTGGGTCGCCACCCATAGATGATTCTGTTTCTATGGGAATTGTCTGCCTCCCTTGGAATCTGGTGCAGGCCGCAGCTCACTAAATCTAAACCGAGATCTGTTTCTTACCGCTACCCCCTCATCGCCTGGCACCAGGGACGACTTGCCCCAGCGACCTAGAGTAAAGCACACACACACACACACACACACGACAGGCAAAGACTCGAGCGCTGATCACTACGTTTAATTCAACTGTAATCCAACGCTGCCTCGTAAAAATGACACAATGTTCCTATCAGATCGCACTGTGATGTGAGTACGGGTTTGTTTTAGAGCTCTGGAAAAATGTTGGCACCAAATGCACATAAGTTTTAAAGCTTAATAAAGATACAGATGAGTAATTTCTCAATTCAGCGTAGAGGTTGAGAACATGGTGCTAAGAGTGAATGAATCTTCCAGACACAGGCACTCCCCAACACACGGCATTTTCAAAATCTGAACGGCCACCCCAACAGGCTCATCTCCCAGCGACCCGACTGCTCAGGTACTTGAAACTCACTCCCACAGCCACAGGAGGGGAAGGCACGGACAAGGTAAAGTGGGGCACGTGGCCCTGCTGCGGCTCTGGCCCCTGTGGGTGGTCTGTGAGGGCCGGCACAGCAATGCCAGGTTCTCGGCGATCTAACCTGGAATTCACACATCATCTTATACGTTAAAAAGCAAAACCAAAGCTAAATGACAGTAGTTCGCTCGCACCACTGGAACACTTTGTTAAGTTAAAGAAGGTCGTGTGTTCGGTTATGTGTGGGTGCATGGCTACCCACCATCTATGACATTTGAACTGGGAGAAAATGCACTGAATTCCAAATAAATTTACAAACGACCATTTGAACGTTTCTGAATGAGGATATAGTACTTGCTAGTCACACGGAGTTGTCTGTCCATGGTCAGCTGGGCCACTGAAGGGGAAAACCGTCTTTGGTTGACAGAGTGACGTGCAGATGCCCTCAGTGTGCTGGGCATGTGGAGCTTGGCAGGCAGCTCCTATAGGCACTATGGTGTCCAGGATGCTGTGAGTTTATTCTGCATTTTAATGCTGACATGTAGCACCTGGCATTAACTTTGTAGGCACTTCTGCTAACATTTGCCACCACCTAGACCCTCCCTCATGAACTGCTGTTTTTTTTAGCAGGAGTGAAGTATAGGAACTGAGACTGTAGCCCACAAGAGGCTGAGTGGCACAACCTGCTGCCTGACAGATGAAAGCACCACAACTCTTGCCAGCCTGTCATCTGTGCAGGCAGATATGGAATTGGCCAGTTGAGACTTGGCTGGCAAACTCCTTAACCTCCTGGGAACTGTGACTATGGCCCAGAGGTTCTGCAAAGCTTTATCATGCGTGGCCTAAGCAAATCTTCCTCTTTGGTGTAACTGAGCAACTGGCTTTTTTCTAGAAAGGTGTCAGAAACAGACCAAAGTCAACAGTCACTCACTTAAGCCTGGTATTCTAGAAGAGCAGACAGAAAGAGTTCAGACCAGGGAACCTAAGGTCCCAGGGCATCTCTTTCTCCCACTGCAGTGGGAACAGACAGACACAGAAAGGTTTACACAACCCCCTGCCTGCACATATCTGATGGGAGTTTTCAAGTCTTGCAGGAGTCAGTGGGCCTTGCAATAGGAAGAACTGTAGCTTGTGAAGGGAACTGCCCACATCATTGTTGAAAGCAGGGGCTGAGGCTTAAGGCTGAGAAACAAGGGGAACAATTCACAAGCAAACCCACCTGGGCAGAGACCAGCACCCCTGGGAATGGAAGGCAGTGACTATGGAAGATCTGGCCAAGGTTTGATGGCAGACATGGGGCACCTCAGAGATCAGAATACAAAAGCTGTATTATTGTAAAGCTTAAGACCTAGAACAACTTTCTGGTTTTTGTTGACCACTGCCAAGAAAAGCAATCTAGAGATTTCAAGAAAGGGGTGTGGGGCGATTCTCTGGGGTGGAGGTAAAAGAAGGTGGTGGGGTCAGCAGCCGAATCCTTAAGGCAGACACTGTACCCCCGAGGGGAACGGCTGGGGGACTGTCTGCAGACCCCCGGCAGTAGTGTTTCGGCTTAAAGCCCTGCTCCTCCGTCCCAGAGCCACGGACAGGTTGTTTTTGGTTTTAAGGCTTTAAACTCGGCAGTTAGTGAGTGTTAGATACCCGATCAGCTGGCAGCTCATGCACAGAAGGATGTGGAGGGCCCCGCCCCTCAGGAACCGCGCACGAGTGTACCAGGGGGCCGCGGTTCGTCCCACCAAGACCAGTCTCCCGGCAGCCTGGAAGGCAAGGTCCTCCTCAGCTCGCACGGTGCAAAGGAGCCTGAGCAGCGGCCTCAGACAAGCGACACCCCCCTCCCCACCCCCACTCCTTTGGGCTAAAAGAAACTACAATACGCGAAATCCTCTCTCCAGTTCCTTGTGTGGCTACAGGGGCAGCAGCAGCTTCTCTTAGTAGAAGGAGATGCTGGACTTGCCTCCGGGCGGGTTGAGGACTTTGTTGTGAGATCGGGGCCGCGGGCCCAAGCGGGGCTCGTGGCTGTCAGGCGCGGGCACGGGCTCCTGGGCGTGGTCGGCTCTCCTGGGGCTGCCTCTCTCACCTGGCTCTTCTCTGGGCGAGGTGCTCACGGCTGCGGGACAAAGCACGCCATTCCGTTAGAGGCCGCCCATCTCCTGAACAGGGAAGCCGTGCACAGGGGGAGCCTGCGGCACAGACCAGCTAGCAAGAAATGCACACAGCGAGAGGGAGAGAGGGTGCGCAGAGAGCCCCCCGTCTTGCACCAAGATGGCCCTGCTCTCGTACTGCAGCCAGAGGCTTTGGGTCCCTGCCCGTCACTACACACTAGTTCAGCTTCCAGAAGCGGACACTGTGGTCTGGGGCCCAGGCTGATTAGCACTGACAAGTGAAGAAAAGCCATGGTGGCCGGCTGCAAAACTTTCACCAGAAATAACAGCCATTTCCGCAGCCTTCTTCAGGTAGGAAACCCTCTCGGCGATAAGCAGGACCTTGCTTGCTTTCACCAGCTGGCTTAGAAGGGGCTTGTGAACATACCCCCGTGTCCTGGTGGGGAGGGGTGGGCGGGGGAGATACCTGCAGCTCTAGAGTGGAAGCACTTGAGGGGAGGGACAGGAAGCGGGCGCTTACCTTTGCGGCCTGACTTTGGGTCTCCTTCACACAAAAGCATGTGGTCCTGCAACAAGGCAAACCCAGGTCAGTGTGAGATTCAAAACCATCACCCTCTTTCAGTCAGGGCACAGATGACTGGGGTTTATTAACTTCTAAGGATGTTTTTTATGACTGGCAATTCAGCCATAAGCAAGGAGAACAGCCGCGGGGCCCCAGCCGGTCTGCTGTGCACAGGGAACAGCGCTGCTCACTGCCATCCCGCCAGCCACGCTGCTCTCCCACCCGCAGTCCCTCCTTCCCCGTGGGGTGACCCTTCACTTCTCTGTAAATATTTCAACATGTGACTCTTAAAAATGTCCTTGAAGAAACAAAAACAATCATAATTCTCACCTGCAAAAATCAGTTGTTTAAATGTCTAACAGCTAGCCAAATTTTAAAACAGCACGTTTCCAAGGTTCATCCATGGTGTAGCATGTATCAGAAGTTTTATTCGTGTTTCTCCCATTTTATGTGTATAGCACACTGTTTATCCATTCATCTGTTCAGGGACACTTGGATTATCTCTACCTTTTGGCTGTTATGAATCATGCTGCTATTAAAAGAGGTGTACAAGTAGCCTTTTGAGCTCCTGTTTTCCATTTTTTGGGTTATCCATGTAAGAGTGGGATTACTGGATCACATGGCAAAGACTACATTCAGCTTTTCAGAACCTGCAAAACTATCTTTCAGAGGGTGCACCATCATATATTCCTACCAGCCACATGAGGGGGTCCAGTTTCGCCCCATTCCCGCCAACACTGGTTCCCCTGCCTTTTAAGTAGCCATCCTAGTGGGTGTGAAGTGGCATCTCATGGTGATTTGGGGCAGCGTTTCCCATAATGACTAAGGAGGGCGTGCATCTGTTCACATGCTTATTGACCATCTGTCTTCCTTTGAGAGATGTCTGTTCAAGTCCACTGGCCATTTTTGATTCTGAGTTTTTGTTGTTGAGCTTTTAAGAGCTCTTCAAATAGTCTGGATTGTAAACTTCTACCAGATTATGTGATTAAAAAATAATTTCTCCCATGCTATGCACTGTCTTTTCATTCTTTACATAGTGTCTTTTTTGTTGTTGTTGTTTTTTGGGAGAGCAAGGTACAGGCTTTTATTTATAGACATAAAGTGAAAGGACAGAGCTCCCGGCTCGCGCCAGGAGGGACAAGAGAGTCCTACATAGTGTCTTTCGATGCACAAAATTTTTAATTTCATGAAGTTCAGTTTAATTGTTGTAAATTTTGTGTTTTTGCTGTCATATTTAAAAAAATCATTGCTAAATCTAAGATCATAAAGATCTGAAGAACTGTATAGTTTCAAGCCCTTAAATTTAGGTCTTTGATCCATTTTTAGTTAACTTCTGTTTATGGCGTGAGGTAATAAACTTTTCAATTTTCCCCGCACCATTTGCTGAAGAGATCGCTGTGGGTCGCCACCCATAGATGATTCTGTTTCTATGGGAATTGTCTGCCTCCCTTGGAATCTGGTGCAGGCCGCAGCTCACTAAATCTAAACCGAGATCTGTTTCTTACCGCTACCCCCTCATCGCCTGGCACCAGGGACGACTTGCCCCAGCGACCTAGAGTAAAGCACGTCAATCACTGTGTCTAGAAACTTGTTAACCCACTCGAGAATGTGATGCCTGATCAATAAACATGAGAGGTGCCTTTCCAGCACCACTCTTGAGCTGGTGTGCCTCCGAGTCCCCTGGCTGGCCCACTCAGGTCCTCAATATCTCATCGCGTCGCCTCCTTTATCTGCGGGTTGGAGACGGGAGGAGGCCGACAGACCGTCCTTTCACCTTGAGCGACCCTGGCTCTCTTACGGAAGCACCCACCACAAGCCTCGGTGAGCGCGTCTGTCTTGGCTCTCCACTCATGCCTCATGCCAGGACCACACTTGCAATCACTGTAGGCTGAAGTTGGGGTGTGTGGGCCCTTCACCTTTGTTTCTCACTGTCAAGATGGTGTGGCTATTCAGGGTCCCTTGAGATTCCACAGGAATTTAGGATGGGTCTTCCCATTAAAAAACAAAGGATAAAAAAATCAAACATACGTGGTTGGGGCTTTGATTAGGACTGCACTGAGTCTCCTTAATTTCTAATCACCACCTCTCCCTCTGTTGATTCCCATGCAAATTCCTGGGTTTTGCATTATCTGATTGAATCCCGGGGAATCAGGCTTTGGTCCGATGCAAGCTAGGTTTTTTTAACAAGAATTCAAAGTGGGTCCATGACGGACTTCTATCGGGAGGCCCATCAGTCTCGGTTGTGCCTCGTTCTGTGACGACAGCAGCCACCGTCCGCAAAGCGGGAGTCTGAGCTGTTAGGCGCCTTCCCTCCCAGGCCACGGAGGAGCCTGCCAGGGGCGCCGGCCCGAGGCCTGACGCTGCCCCTCACTCGGCAGTTCTCATCATGAGCTGGCCCTCTGGATGCTGCAAGCTGACAGATTAGATTTCAAAGAGTAGTGCTCTGAATACATCAACTCTAAATATTTGGGGAGTTTTCATCCAGTGTAGCTACTGTAAGTGCGACCACCATAAATAGTGAAATGTTATGAGATGACACGAGTGTATGTGCGATTTTATGAACACCCTCACTGCCCCTCGGCGCTGCAGAGGGCAGCAGCCCGCCTGACACCCTCAGACCGGCCTCCCTGGGCTGAGCCTTCACGAGCTGGGACCGCACCCCTCTGCCGGCTCAGGGCTCTGGGCTCCACGACCAAGGACTCGGCTTCCTAGTAACACTCCGGTGCCTCCCTGACCGTTTCAAAGACTTAGTTCAGCTTTTGTTTTCTCACTTTCCTTCTGCTACCCGAAAGGAGTCCATACCTTGGGTTTGTTGGGGTGTGCCAACGGTGAGGTGGCAGCCACTGGGGACCCAAAAATGTCACTGGTCTTCCCACCAGGTGGGTTCAAACGCTGTCGAGTCTGCACAGGCGACATTTCATCAAAGATGCCACTTCCTTTGCCCCCTGCAAGAGCAATTACAAGAGTGGTGAGCAGCATGGAGCAGCCAGCTGCTCCTGTCCTCGGACAGCTCCTCTCACGGCCGCCCGAGCGCCAGCCCGGGGCCAGGGAGCAGGACAGGGTGACTGGGGCATGAGGATCCTTGAGGACCGACATCGTGTGCAGCCCCTTTACCGGGGACTGCCAGGCCTTCGCTCAGCCCTGAGCTGACCAGGCCTCTAGAGGTGAGACAATGAGTTGGCAAAAAACATCATTTTCTCTAGAATTTCCCAAACCCTGAGCTTTTCATACTTTCCTGTCAAATCTGCTTCATTAAACCCACAAAAAGTTAAGCAGATTAAAAGCAAACAACTGCTTCATTTTTAGGTCAGATTCCCCAAACTGAATAACATTCAAGGCAAACCTGTAATCTGGAAAATAACCTTTATTAGTCATTCTGACCTCACTCTGGCTGGATGTCAGCAAAGTAGACGTCAGCATCTCACGGTACCAACTAATGGCGATGCACACATCTAAGACTAACTCCTTATAAGCGGACAACCAGGGCACACGAAAAGTGAATGCCAATGTCAAGCAGCAAGAGGCCGCCACACAGTGCCTGCTGGCCTTCTCTTCGCCCAGCGAACACCTCGCGCCTCCTCCCACAGGGCGCCAAGGCTGCATGGAGGTGGGTGGGCTGCTGCAGTGGGTTCCCTGGTGCACCGAGCCCTTCTTGCGGGAGGAAGACAATGCAGCCGTTAAATAGCTGTGTGACCGCACACAAGTTCCTTGGCCTTTCTGTGCCCCGACTGCCTCGGAGCTGTGTGAGGGACCAACGACTCACCGTGACTCCTACGACAATCGCTTAGAACAATGCCGGGACACAAATGCCCAGTGCAGATGTCCACTGCATTTTCTAGGTACCGGTAACAAAACCTGCCTGGATATTCAGTGAGAAATGGTGCGGGGCAATCTACACAGCTTGGGGCACCGTGATGCAGGGGAGCTGCTCCTGTCTGCTCTATCTGACCAGACAAGTGGTTTCTCTACCCCCCGCAAAAAGCGGCTGCCTGAGGGGGTCTGTGCACACAGAAAGTGGGGTGCAGGGGCTCCAGGCTGCTGAACGTGTCCTCTGTATGGAGTTGTGTTTTTTTTTTTTACTGTACTGTTTTCATGGCCCTCAGGACTGGCGAGCCCCTCCAGGACGCCGGGTGCTCTCACCGGCCTCCAGACCGTGTTCAGGGCCCCCGCCTCTGCAGTGGGTTCTAAAGTGAGCAACCTTCTGGGAGTCTGTCTTCTGGGGACTCAGGGCGTGGCCTCAGTGGCTCTGCAGGATGATGCGTGTACACGGCTTCACGTTATTGCAAAAAAGCCCTGGGCCTCCGCAACAGACCCCACGCTGGGGACCCTGGACACGTGACATCAGCCTTCTTGTCTCCAGGTCCTCAATTCTAACAAGGCAATAAATAAGAGTGCCTGCTATGTTGGTACTGATGGCGCATCAGCGCAACGGTCTAGACCACAGAGCGGAGACAAACTTCTGCTCAAAGCCATCTGCCTGCTTCTTGCACTGGGTCTGGTGCTTTACCCAAGTGAATTCTTTTAAAAATGTGCATTCAGCTTTTTTTTAAAAATGGGAGATAACTCAATTCAAAGTATTTGGCTAAAGACACTCCTTTTTAAAACTGTTAAACACACAAAAGTTCCCAAGACAATCATCACAAATAACAAAGCAGATGCTTCAGCAACTGCCCAGGGAGGGCAACTACCCCAGCTCCCAGAGACCCCGACCCCCATGCCCTTCCCCGTCACACTGGGGTCCCCATGTCTGAATTTCCTGGAAACACAAACTTGGTACTTCACAGTTTAGCCACATATGTCCCAACCCTAAATAATACGGTTCTATTCTTGACCTTTACACTGCAGGTCTATTATTCAACATTGTACCTCAATGATGAATTCAGCTTGGAAGAGGGAAAGGATGCTCAATTCACTCAAAACTGAAGAAAAGAAGTTCAAGATACACTTTTTCAAGAATCAAACTGCAGAAGGTAGACACTGTCGGCGGTGTGGGGAGCGGGTAGCAAATGGCCCTCTGCAGACTAGTGAGAGGTTCCATCAGTGTTTTCACCTGATCCACAACTCCATTTCGATAATTTTACCCAACAGATCTTCCAGCTGAGAGCATGAGCTTGGGGTCAGGGAGGCTGACCCAAAGGTCGGTTCTGCCACCCACCAGCAGCGAGGCCTGGGCCACCTCTGAACCTCCAAGCCTGTCTCCTCCTCCGTACAGGGGTGACACTGCCTGTCCCCGGGGTGGAGGGAGGACAGAATGAACACCTGCCCCTAACACAGTCCCTGCAAACCTCAGCAATCCTGTGGGCCAATCATCACTGCAGGACAGGGAGAACAATCTGTGGAAGCTCCTACCAGGCCATCAGCAGCGCACACAGACTGTGTGACACAGGGCGTGGCCAGCCGCACACTCTGCCCTGCACACTCCTCAGTCAGGCCCCCTCACCAGGGGCCATGCGACCAAGTCTACAAGACCCAAGAAACCAGAGCAGGAGTTCAGGTCTGGGGCGGTGGACATGCCCTTTCCCCTTGAGAATTCGTCACAGATCTTCAAAGAGCTCTTGGCAGGAAAGGACCCAAACCCCCAACGGCAGGGCCTCGGCACGGCGGGGGGGCACACTGGCTGTCGTCACACCTAGTGTCTGAGAGCAGTGCAGAGGCCTCCCAACTCTGCTCGGGGAGCCCAGGCTGCTCACTGGCCCGTGAGCATGGGAGCATCATGTGCTCAGGAGGGACTGGCAGAGCGGCGCTGTCCCTGGCTGCCATACTCTCCAGGAGCCCGACAGCCCAGGGACAGCTCGACACACACTGCTGAGCCAGGGCCACATGAGTGGCCAGCGCACCTGCAGGCGCCCGTCGTTCCGCTATCACTGGCACAAAGGACGGGACCACGCCTGGCCCTGTCCCCACGAGGAAGTCACTCCCTTACCTGCTTCCCTCCTGTAACTTCAAAACACTAACCCTCCCCTATGCCGACAGTAACTAAACCCAAACCCAGCTTTTGAATGTACCGCTTCTGTGCACCCAGGACTGTGGCAGGTGGGGGCCGTTCTGACTGCGGCTCCGCCTGATGTATCTTCTGTCAGAGATACTGGGTCCTGTGCCTGGCCTCTCAGATCAAGTGTGGAACCAACCTTGCTTTCCCTCCTGGACACAGACGGGGGACAGCACCTCAGGCACCTGTCAACGCCCACTCGCTCCACTGACTGTCTATCCACAGACCCGTGTCTCTCAGCTTCTCTCCCACTCTGGCTACTAGGTGGGTGGTGGAGGCCTCGGCAGACAAGGCTAGACCAAGACATCCTTCTCGGAGCTTCAATCCCACTGACAATCTGATAAAAAATACTCTCCCTAGGAAAAACACTTAAATTTGCACACAATTCCAGGAATCTTGAGGGGTCCATGGGACCTGGGAAAACGCGCACCCCATCCTCTGCCTGTCCTTAGTGTCTGTACCTGGCCAGGGCCCACAGACAGGCGAGACAGGGTTCAAAAACAAACGAGCCGCCTTTAGGACAGAAAGTCAGGATAAGACCACTCCCACATTCTAGGACGCTAATGGCAAGGGGTGTCCTGTGCAGAAAGTATATCAATATAAAGAAACAGGAAACTATCAGAATAGCAGCATAAAAGAAAACAGGTAGAGGCCAGAGCATCAAGATTCACAAAGGCCCGTACCTGGGGGGTTGGTCCTCTTAGGTATGTTCTGAGGTTCTTCAGTTGGTCCAAAAATATTAGATGCCATCCTATTGGGCCTGCTTGATGGAGCAGCTTCTTCCGGACTTCCAAAAAGACTGCTCGATTCTCCTCCCGGGGGCTTCATGGCCCTACGAGCACAGAGCAAGTGTGAGTCACTGACGGCCGACCCGGCAGCCACTGTCCAGACTGTACAGTGCAACCAGGCAGCACAGATGTACTTTAACATCTACAGAAAAATCACTTCGCAACTGTTTAATACCAGCATGGCTAGTTTACAGACAGCCACAGAGCAAGCCTCCTTTATTACCCGTAAGGTTCCCTTAAAAGCTTTCTCCTGCCAAAAAAAAACCTCCAGAAATGTATATATTTTGGAATTATTCTTGTGACCTCTCAAAAGTAAAATTAGTTTCCCTAAAACAGGCAAATTGAGCCACATCCAGAAGAGCTTAATACTAATTTTAATTATACAGCCGACCCTTGAACAACAGGGGTTTGAACTGCATGGGTTCACTTGTACGCAGATGTTTCTCAATAAATTTTGTATTGGAAAAATTTTAGACACTTGCAACAATTTGAAGAAACACCTTATTTTCTCTAGCTTACTTTATCCTAAGACTATATAACACATATTATGAAGTATGTGCTGATTGACTGTTATCAGTAAGCCTTCCAGTCAACAACAGGCTTGTTCATAGTTAAGTCTGGGGGGACTCGAAGGTATACGTGGATTTTCAAGTGAGCCGGAGGTCGGTGTCCGTGACCCTCACTTCGTTCAAGGGTCAACGGCACTCTCATCCATTTTAGAGGGCAGGCAGCGTGCCAGCCTTGGTCTGGACAGAGACCTGCGGGCAGGCCACACCACCACAGCGGCCGAGACGCAACCGGCAGGCCAAGTCCCCGTCCGCTGGGAAGGATGAGAAGGAGGATGCCTGCTCGGCAGTTAGCGTTTCCCTAAGGATTCGATGAAGGAAAAAAATCACTTCGACTTACGAAAAATGTGTATCACAAAAAAGTAACCAATAACCGGACTTAAATCAGGAAGGGCTTAATAAGCCCTCAGGTCACAACTTTCGTGAATGGGGCAAGGCCAACCTCTGCACCCATGTACACCACACAGCCCTGGTCACGATGGCGTCTCCATATTCTTGGTGGTAAGTCTTGGTAGGTCTAAGGGGCACGGGTCTCCACAGTCAGCTCTTTGAAAACAGGGATGGAGGTCTGCCATCTTCAGAACTGCACTGAATTTAACATCAGTCTCATGCCCATATGTGTTAAAATGCCTATTTTACTGACTTATCTGAAACATGGCTCATCTCTCGGACCCTCAACTCCCTCAAATTATCAGGTCAGATTCATCTGGATTCGAAGCTCTCAGGACTCTCCTGACTCACATTCCACATCCCTGGGGTCTCCCCAGCCTCTCACCCTGCTTCAGTTCAATCCACATGTCCCCTGAGTACCCATCACTGGCACGTCTGACAGGACCTGTGGCTGAAGATGGCTAAGCACGAGCCCTTGGCCCGGAGAAGCTCCCGGTGTGCTGGCAAAACTAGAGCTGTGTGCAGCTGCATTCTCAGCATTCCGTGTTTGTCAGTGACGCCACACAGGCACCGAGTGTTACAACCCCAGCGACATCCATGCAGGAGGCAAGCCCACGAGTCTGTGGTCTCTGTGTGCGAAGGGCACCATCAGGCACAGCCCGTTACGTGACATGATCAAACGTTAATCTCGGGTGGTGAAGTACAGTGTTTATAGTATTATTCTGTGCACTGTTCAGAATTTTATTTTACTTTTCTTTGAAAAACAGGAGAGAAAAGGACAGTGCTGCCCAAAAACATTATAGCAGAGAGATCACTGTACATAAAGCATGCTGCCAGGGAAGGGGCGGCGACCTGCCCCACTGCAGAGAGTGGGGTTGGCACCAGGGCTTCACAGCCTTGCGGCTGTCATGCACAGCACACCAGGTCTCACACAAATGGTACTGAGAGTTAAATTGACATTTTGATGAAAACAGAACCCACAACAATGGCTCAATGCAGCCTTTGAGGCTCACTAGCCAGGGCAGCTGTCTGACACCAACTCCAGACAGGCTGAATGTCGGTGAGCTCAGACATTTTGAAGACAAATTCACCATGTGGGCATGCTTCCCAATTATTATTTTCTGTTCGTAGTACCCCCTCGACCTATTTCAATAAAGACACTCCAGGTACACAAGAGAATTAAGGGGCAGGTAACAAGAAAAGCCAAAGATACAGCTCAAGTGGACTACTGCACCGGGAGAGGCAGAGGTTAACAGATATGGCGGCCTGGGGGATCGCCATGCTCCCAACCCTCCCAATAGCCTGACCCTGTGTTTCAGGGAAGCTTTGGGGACTGGTCAGGCTTGGAGAGAAGCAGCAGAGAATAACCCTGGATTAAAGTCTTTACAAATACACGTTTTACAGAAGACAGACATCAGATTAATGATGGCTAATGCATAATGCTTTTATAGGTCAAAATCTCATAGGAAAATCCCCCAGTCAGAAAACAAGAGGTAGGGTCAAGAGAGGAAAATCTGGCTGGGTAAATACTCTTACAGCTGCCCTGATTCCCTCCCTCCACAGCCAAATAAAATGTGGACCTTGTCAGGCCTGTCTGCCTGATCGGTTCCTCTAAGACAGCTGTCAGAAACTTCCAATTACAGTGAATCTTCCAATCAGGAAGATGACTTTTCCTTCTTCAGTGTTCTAAAAGGAAGATTTCTTTCTCCCTTCCTTAATATCCCCCAAAGAGGAGTGCAGTATTACTTTAGAGAGCCAGCACTGCAGCTGACTTCTGAACCTTGAACACCAGTCGAAGTCAGTATTACTCATGGCGTTATTGTCCACTGGGCAGTGCCGATCAGTGTAAATGAGGAGGGCACGTATGTAACGCACACAGCTGGGAAAGCGCTGGGAAGCGGCCCCTGCCCAGCTGGTGGGGGTGGTGCAGAACAGCGGTCGTCAGGCCCAGAAACTCATTCATCCTGAGCTCTCCAAGGCAAACTTCCGGCCCCACGTCAGTACAACTAGATGGGAGCGACTCTGTGGATTAGGGGTGAATTGTTCGGCTAGCTCTATTACTGGATTACCCACCTCCCCCAAATTCACAGAGTTTTAGCGAGCGAAAACATTCTCTCACTTAGCATTTCTTCTATACAGCGCTTGCCACAACAGCCATCACGCATACTGTCTGTCTGCTGCTTCTCCGGGGAGGCTAGGCCACAGAAGAGGTCACAACACACCCTAGGACACCTCAGACCCAAACGCAACGCAGGCTGATTCCCACCGGTATGGCAAGACTTCTGACCTGGGTCCCCAGGTGCGGGTAAAGGGGAGGCCCCACCCGGGTCCCGGGCTCAGGGATTAGGGGAGGGGGCACCTGGGTCCCCGGATGCTGGCTGGGGTGGCCCCCAGCACCCTGGCCGTCCCCAGGCACCGTCGGCAAGCGCCCAGCGCTGCACCAGCTCCGGAGGCGGTCCCCCGGCCCGCACACACCCGCACTGTCCTGGGCTCCTGGCTGCGCCCGCCCGAGGCAAAGCCGCGGGCCCGTGGGCTCGGGGCGCTCTGGACGAAGAGCGCGGGAAGGAAGCCTCTGGCCTGCCGCCGGGACCCGGCGCGGGGAACACGGCTCGCGTCGCCCCCACCTCCGACAGCGACTGGGGTCTCCTGCCTCCCGCCTCCCGCTTCCCGCCGCACCTAGAAGCGCCACGGCCGCCCTCCCGCTCTGGAACCTGGAACATGTCGCCACCGGTCGCGCCTCTACTCCAGTCGCGCCGCGCGGCAGCGCACAGCCCGGCACAGCCCGACGCCCACCGGCCCGCGCCTATTGGGCGCCGCAGCCTCCAGTCACGCCGCCGTAGCCTATCATGACTCCGGATCCCGCCCCGACAAGGTGGCTAATGGAGGCCAGCCCGCGTCGCCGCCGATTGGCGGGCACAAGTGCCGCTCAGGCGGCAGGTACGAACGTTGGGCAACAGGCCGTGAGGGCGGGACTGCAGAAGGAAGCTCCGCCGGGGGGCGGTCCTTGTCCCTGGTCCCGCCCACCTCCGACCTAAAAATGACCACCTGCAGGGGATCTGTGGCCGGGCGGTGGCTGAGCGCTCACCTGGCGAGCCACTCGAGCTGTCTTTCAAGCACACAGTTAAAAAGAGGCAAAAACGGTAATTATTAGATCAAGTATTAGTATGTATTTATGCACAATAATAAAAACATTTACAAGTTGAACTGGAAATTGAAACATAAGAAGTTTAACAGCTTTATTAAATAACCAAAACACCTTTTATTCCCAAAATTGGTAAAGAATAAATAATATAATTTACAATATGGTACAAAAAATAATCAGGAGCGTCAGGCATTCTGCTTTATACATACATTGTATATGTGTATTTATATCTATAAAACAAATTCACATCTCAAACAAGCCAAAAACCTTAGATGATATGGCTTAACGACTATTAAAAGAAACAGCATTAGCCCTGCTGCCCAGACCACAGGCTCTTGGGCCAGTCATCCTGCTACAAAACCAAGGGTCCACGCAGCTGTAGTGCTTCCAAGATTTAACTGACTTAACCTGACTTACAGATCACTGGGTTTAGCAGAGCCGTGGGCGGCCAGGAAAGGTTTTTTGCGGGTTTCTATTTTCTCACAAATGCATTTGATAGATCTCAATGTGTGGGGAAAATAAGGGCTGCTGCTGTTTTCCTCCCCTACGTGTTTCCAGTGTCTTTTCACTCCAGGGCTCGTTTGCACAAGCTTGGGTCACGGTATGATCTAGCTAAGGGCGCTATGAAACTGAAGAGAGCCGCCAGTAATGGAGCCCCAGTGCAGAACAAGGAATGGGGTCCTGATGATAAGAACCTGGAGATGTGGGAGGGCGAGCAGCTCAGCTCAGGCAATCAAACGCCCTCGAATGTCCCCACTCCCTGAGCAAGTACCGAACACCTTCGAGGTACAGAGATGAGAAAAATGCTGCCATGAATCTTACGTGGAGTCACGACTTCAACATGCCTCTGCATCTTCTACAGAACAGGATGCCCGCCACCGGGGAGTCACGAGAGTCAGGCCGAAATGCCCACTGCCAACAGACACCCGGTCTTGATCTTCAGCAAAGAGACAGCAGGACCCCAGGCAGCACTGGGGTGACCAGGGCACGTTCCTCCTCACGAACCGACTGGCCAGTCACAGCACACCCATGCGCAGAGCGGGTGGGGGGACAGAGGCTGGAGGTGGGCTGCGGGAGGCTGCTGCTACCTCTGTCTTTCAAAAGTCCCCACCTTTACCAGTTGCTCACTTCTATACACATTTATCCATTTAGGCTGGGAAAAAAATGCACCCATCACTTTAATGCTACAAATGACGTGGGCATTTGCCCCTTAATACGTGGGCAAATGGTTGTGCCTGTCTGGTTGTGAGAGCTGAATTCTCTGGAATCATGTCAGTCTTATTACAGGTAGGGGTGGGAGTCAGCCCACTCTCCAGCCGAGCCCACTCCCCATGGATGACCCTGCCCACAACTAGCTGCTCCAAAAAGGAGTTTGTCAGATTCAAGTGGGAGATGCTGTAAACAGCCGACAAGAGCCGGCCCACACCTCCAGAGCTTACCTCCTATTTTATGTCACTGGGCAACAGGTGCCCACCAGCCACTAGCCTGCCTCGGGTGTCCCAACAGGCATGCGGCTCTGGACTGTACTGCCTGCAGCACATGCACACCACTGCCAGGCAAGCTCCCAGCACCAGGGCTGTCATATTACCTGGCACCTCTGGTTCCCCAGTGGGAGTGTGAGAAAGCTAGTGATGGCCTAATGCTGGCTGGTACCCTAACAGTCAGATGTCCAGAAAAGGAGAGATGTGCTGATGGTTCAGCTCACTCAGGTGCTAATTTTGGGAGGCTGACATATTGATCACAAAACACAAGCTAGTGTAAAGATACTCTGGTTCAAACACTACTGTCTGTATCTCTTAATAAAGTGGCGACATGTTGACTTCGTTCACATTTCCAGAGCTCTGGGACTTTAAGAGCCAAGAAGAGCTGTGTATATAGGCTTTGTTAGTGATGTTCATGCCTCATACCAAACGTCAAAGGGGGAAGCCACCTTCTCAGCGGCAAAGGCTCTAAGAAACACTTGAGATGAAATAAGGGAACCACTGCCTGGCAGCCAACCATCCTGTTCCCTCCCACGGCTTGAGTGAATGACCCTGTTTGCAGCCTAGAGTGGCTGCAAGCAGCTGAAGGGGCGACAGCGTCAAGAGAGTCTGCACTGCCTGTACACGTAAAAGGCCATTTTCTCCCCCTTTCCCACCAGCTCACCTCCTCACTGTGGCCAGGGACAGAAGCCCATGTCAAGGGCTGTCACTCCACTGCCAGTCGGCGGAAGAGGAGAGGTGAGCAACAAGAGCGGTGAGTTCCAGTGCATCAGAGGCCAAGCTGACCCCGGCTGCCAGGTGGGGGGTGAGGCAGCAGGTGGGATGTGGCGCAGTGTCAGCTGCCCAACACCAGAGCCACATCAGATGTGGCCAGATGGGGAGCTGTGTGTCGGCACTCCCTTGGCTGAGAAGGCAAAGGAGCCCTGTCAGCTCCATTCTGGGTAAGACCGCGTGGTGACAGCTGGTCACCCAAGGAGGCTCAGGGGCAGAGCGGCTGCGCCCGGCACACGCTCTGCCTGGAGCCAGCCTGCCCTGCCCGGGCCTCTGGTCTCAGACTGTGCTCCTGAGGGTCAAGGGCTCGTCGGGGAAGTCTCACTGGGCTCAGATGGGTGGCCCAGATCAGCCCAGTAGAGAGCGAACAACTCAGACCCCCTAACAGGACCCGCAGATGGACACGGGCAGCAAACAACCGGGCTCTGCTCTTCCCCCTCAGCATCTCCTAACTCGTAACACACAAAAGAAACATTGCCCAGTCAGCTTTGTGGGGCTTATTCTAAAAACCCACCCAGCGTGCAAAAGATATGACTCTTGGTTCCCTCCTACGTCCAGCAGAGCAAATTTCTAGGTGGGAGAAGCATCTGGCCAGGATCACTACTCCGGGAGACGGCCCGGCTGCGCTGCCCACGGTCAGAGTGCCCTCTGACGTGGCTGCCATCTCGGCAGCCAGCTGTTTTCCCATCATCGCTGCAGAGGAAGCCCTAGGTGGGTGCAGGTGCGGCAGACAGAAAGTGGCGGTGGCCTGGAGACTCCCGCAGATGGGGGGTGCACCTCCGCAGGACCGACAGCTGTGCCCAGGCACAGCGCTCCTTTCCCCCAAAAAGAAGACCCACTGGGAGGCCCAGCACAGCCACCGAGGCAGAAGCACGGGTGGAAATGTAGTCACTATGCAGACCCTCATGGGAGGCCCAGGGCTGGTCACAGCAGTGTCTGACGTCGGCATCCTCCAACTCCAGGCCACCACTGTCCACTGTCTGCTGGACAAGGCTTCCTGCATGTTGCATATTCTGGGGTGCAGAGGGGTGTGATTTTTCTTGAGTCTGAAGAGTCGACACCTACAACAGTGGAGGCCCACCAGCTCTGTAAGCTCTCCTCTGCAGCCTGCAAGACGCCCCTGCCACGAGGTGAGGTCACTGGGATAGGTCACCGATGGGGGGGCCACCTCCACCGCCATCAAACAGAACCTCTCGGCGGCCGGGCTCAGTGATGGACAGCTCTTGGGCCAAATCGTTGAACCGAGATATGTAATCGATGCTGTTTTCGTTCATCATGCACACCAGCTGGGAATCCACAACCTGCAGGGAAGGACACAAGAGAGGGCCACGTTAGCTGGCGGCTGGCCCCCGGATGGAGGCGACTGGCTGCCACGGTGGGGATGTCGGCAGAAGGCAAATGAGCTGGTGTCTCTGCAATGAGCAGTAGGATCCCCAGTGGACTGGCCATGTGCTGGCAGCCCAGCGCTCGGGAGAATTTCAGAGAGGCCCCCGTCATTCTGAGCACTCACTTTTTTGACGTGTGTGCACAAGAGCCTGCCATGAGCCAGCACATCCACAAGTGACTTATGGGGAGAGACGCTCAGGGGACAGGGAACAGGCAAATGGCACACAGACCGCGGGGTGGCCTGAAGGAGATGGACATGGAGAAAGGGACAGAGTTGGCCATGGGGGTGGGGAGCACACTCCCTCCAGGAGAAACACAAGCACAAAGGCCCTAAGGTGGGAAAAGACTTCAGCTATTCAAGGAACAAGAAAGCTGGCGGCCGTGACTGAGGCAAAGAGCAGAAGGTGAGAGATGGCATGCACAGCAGGGCCTCAGGTATTGGACATTATTCTGAGGACAAACACAGGAGATTCACAACCTTCGGAGTTCCTGGCTGACCATTCTCTAGTGTGGAAGCCTTGGGAGTAGGAGGCCTTAGCCTTGACCACTCAGGGCCCGGCAAGGGGAGGCCCTGAGTCAACTCCACCAGTGAACTGCAAGATACGGGGAGCAAGTGAGAAGCCCCTGGGAAATCCTGAGTAGGGCTGTGCCGTGAGGTGGAGTTCACACCTTCATTATGGGATGTCTTAAACAACTCAAGTTTGTTTCCAAAAAGTAGAGCAAAGAGTGCCTAGCACACCCATCACCAGCCTCATCATGATGAACCTGCGGCCTGAGACGGCCACCAAAGGATTGCTCCAGCCACATTTCGGAAGCTACTTCTAAAAGATAAGCCTGTCTGGAAAACACATGTGTCCTCAAGTGTAGAGTTCTTAGTCAGACCCGTTTGCTCAGCACTTGCTGTCTCTGCAGTATGCACGTGTCTGTCTGAGTTACTGGCTGTGGACCAAGCAGTTCAGGATGGTGACCGGGCTGGTTCTGTGAGGCCCACCTTCCTACCCAGGCGCCTTCTGTGCGCCTCCTGGGTGTGCTCAGAGACCTAGTCAGGAAT